TGGCTTAAGAGCCAGCGTGGATGGAGTTGCCACTCATTGAGATAGAAGAAGAGTAGGATATCATTATTATAAAGTTAGCAGCCTTTTTGTTTCTTCTTTTTCACTGTCTCTGTATACCTTCCAAATAGAAAGGCCAAACTTCTCAGAAAAACCATAATAATGTTTGTAAATTGCTCTATTTAAACTCCATATGAGCAGCAAGATGCAGAGTTCATTAAGGAATGCAATTTCCCATTTGTCGATAGTTCTAATACTGGAATAGACTGAATTTGAGGCAATCATAAACCTATCTTATGAATACCAAAGGTAAGCTTTTCAATATTCTCTCTGTCTAAAAAACAGACTGTTTTCAATTTCTCACTTGGTCAAATAGAGATTATTAAGTTCATTACCAATAGTGCTATTTTTGGCTATATACAGAGTAGTTGTCATGCAGGAGACTTCAGTCTTTGCCAGAACAGGGCAGGGATGAGAACACGGTATCCAGGGCAACCAAGAGTTCAGCCTTTTCAGTCCATAAATAATCATTCCTTAGCTTGCCCTTTGTAATGCTGGTCTCCGAGCTACCACATGACAGAATGAGCTCAATCAGGAGGCCACTGTTCTCTGCCTTGCTTGCAGTTTAAATGACTGCTAAGGAATATTAAAACAAAGGCAACATTTCAATTCCATAGCAAATTCCACAAAATCTCAAATCCACAAAAACCCACATCTGACTCTTATGATCTTAACTCTGGTTACAAAAAAAATCTCTGTAACCAGAGTAATCAGAATATATGTATTTTTTGGGGTGTGTAGATATTCTTTGGCACAAAGATTGTCTGAGGTGTTATACATGCTTAATAGTGTTTGTTTTAAGAAATTCATTTATTTTTTATCTATTTTTTTTGAGTGGGAGAGGGAGAGGGAGAAACAGTGTGAAGAGGAGAGGGAGGGGGGAGGGGGAGAGAGAGAGCAGAGAGGGAGAGGGGAGAGAGGAGAGGGGAGAAAGAACTAGCTCTCATTGCTGGTTCATTCTCCAAATGCTGCAAAAGCTGGGGCTAGCCCAGGCTGAATCTGGAAGTTAGGTACTCAATCTGGGTCCCCCACGTGGGTGGCAGGGACGCAACCATTTGAACCATCACCTCCTGCATCCCACAGTGAGCATTAGAGGAAGGTGGAATGGGGAATGGAGCTGAGACTTGAACCCATCTAGCATACCAAATGGGATGCAGGCATCTCAACTAGGATCTCAACTGGTATGCCAGATGCCCACTACCCCATAGTTGCTTTTAATGAAAGCACAATTAAGGCAAGAAAAATCTGGAGGGTGGGAAAGGAGGAGATAATGAACACTAATCAAAGATTGACATCATTCCCCATTTCCTTGGAGCCAGCCTGAACTCCTCCTCCAGGAAGACTTGTGGTAAATTCTCTCCAGAGCACAGAAATTTCACCATCCACTGGCTATCAGTAGCACTCCTGTAATGACTACATCATAGATTAAGAACTTACCATATCATGGGGGTTAGGAACCTGGACTTGGGCATCAGGCCAACCTACAGCTGAATCACTTTTCTCTAGTCTAGAGTGTCAGTATTCTCATTTGGAAATGAGAACTCTAATAGTGCTTATCACACAGGGCAGGTATAAGGAGGACATTAGGTGATAGGGTCCCTGAGAGTTCTAAGATCTACAAAGATGTTGGATATCTGGAAAAAAATAGCTTTAAGGTACAAAAAGTTACAAAATTAATAATTATTTAATTAAATACTAAAAACATATTACCTACTGTCAATTGTCTTTCAATCTTTATATAGTTGTATATAAACATGAATCAGAGTGGCATGACCTTACAGCTCCTTTCAAAAATTGTATAGCAGAAACATTATATTTACTGTTAGATGAAAGTAGTTTCTACTCCCTCCCTTCCGCCCGCTTGCCCTTCAACCTTCTACCATGGAATGACACAACAAGAAGGCCCTCATCAAGTACAAGGCCTTGACGTTGGACTTCTCAGTCCCTAGTTGTGATGGACAGTACATGCCATTCTGGTGAGGTCTCAGATGGAAACAAACACGGTGTTAGAAACTGAAGTAAAGGTATCATTGTTACACAGTTGGAAAGAACCACATGCGAGTGCAGCTGTGTCTTGGGATGTGGTGGAAGGCACAGTTTAACCTGGATGAACTAGGACACTTGGCAGAAGAAGCATCTAAGCAGTGAAATGTTCAAGGTGCTGCATGCTTCTTTTGGCTGCTTACAGTAAATGAGAGGGATGAGAATTGATTTAAAGATGCAATTTATAACTAAAAGGGCAGCCGAACAGAGACTTGGAACACTCTCAGCCTGGCCATGTAAAGAATAAAAAAAGCAGGATGGGCAGAAAATACTAAGGATGTGGCCAAGTGACCATTTGATAAAGAATTAATAAAGATAGAACAAAGCTAGGTTCTATCCAAGTCAATGAAGAGTAACCTCAAAGGCATTCCAGAGATCCTGTAGGCAAGTTAGGACCTTGAGGGTAAGGTTTCCAGACAGGCGCCTATGGGATCTTAGCATTCACTGCCCTGTGCCACCAAAGGATCTGCTCCGTGCAGTGCCCCTCAACCACCACAGCTATGGCTCAAGCAGGTCCACATACAACTTGGGCTGCTACTTCAGGGGCTGTGAAATGCGGGCCTTGGTGGCTTCCACACAGATTTCATTGGAGGCATCAAACAGCTTGGGAACGCAGGGAGAAATACGTCACAGGGGCACGGCTACCTCCGCGAGCCTCCAGTAGAGTAGTGCCTGGTGGAGCTATAAGACCAGGACCACAACTGAGGCCCAAAACTGTAGAGCTGCCAGCATGCAATGCTAGCTTGGGAGAACTACAGCACAAGACCTTAACCCCAAAGAGCTGAAGTGGGAGCTGCCCAAAGCCTTAGAGGCTCAACTCCCACCCTTGTGTATCCAGAAGGTGATCCCTATAGTAAAAGTTTATTCTAAAAAAAAAAAAGATTGTTCTAGAGTCGTAAGAGATTATTCTTTACCTTTAAGACTTCGTGTTGGGACCAGCGTTCTGGCCAGCAGATTAGGCTGCTTCCTGCAATGCTGGCATCACATATGAAGGCCAGCGTGAGTTCTGGATGCTCCACTTCAGCTCTCTGCTAATGCGCTTGGGAATGCAGCATAAGATGGCTTGGGTCCTGGCCACCCATGGGGGAGACATGGGTGGAGGTCCTGGCTCCTGGTTTTGGCCTGGCTTTGCCCCATTCATTGAGGCCATCTGGGGAGTGAACCAGCAGAAAGAAGATCTCTGGTTCTATCTCTGGTTCTCCCTCTCTCTCTCTGTAATTCTAAGTTTCAAATAAGTAAATATATCCCTTGTCTAAACAAGATAAGAGTCGGAGAACTCAAGGGGCTTCCATAGCCTTGGAAACTCATGACTGGTGCATAGGGAGATTACTGATGCCATAAACAGGAGTGTCAATTTGTTAAGTCAACAACAGGAGTCACTGTGCACTTACTCCTCATGTAGGATCTCTGTCCTTAATGTGCTGTACATTGAGACTTAATGCTATAACGAGTACTCAAACAGTATATTTCACTTTGTGTTTCTATGGGGGTGCAAGCTGTTGAAATCTTTACTTAATGTATACTAAACTGATCTTCTGTAAAAAAAAAAAAGAAGAAATTATCAATTCCCAACTTGACTCTCACTGGGATTAAACATGACAATAGGTCTGATCTGATTTCATCATCATTTAAAAAATCATCTATTATTTTTCACTTTATGTTTCTGTGTAGGAGCAAACTGTTGAAATCTTTACTTAATGTATGCTAAACTGATCTTCTGTATATAAAGAGAATCGAAAATGAATCCTCATGTGAATGGAAGGGGAGAGGGAGTGGGAAAGGGGAGGGATGCGGGTGGGAGGGACGTTATCGGGGGGAAGCCATTGTAATCCATAAGCTGTACTTTGGAAATTTATATTCATTAAATAAAAGTTAAAAAAAAACATATTGAATGAATAAATGGATAAGTGAAGGAAAAAAAAAAGGACTTAATGTTATTTTCCTGGTTGTGTTATGGATTTTTGAGTACTTGAGACAAATTTCCCCTTCCTTTTTGCCTATTTCTTCCTTTGGGAATCAGAATATGTATCTTAAGCATGTCTCATTATTGTATTTTGGAAGTAGGTAACTTTTGTTTTTATTTCACTGGCTCACGGTCACAGGAGATTCGTCTTAGGATGAACCATGTCTAGAGTCTCACCCATATTGATTCTGATGAGACTCTAGACTTTGGACTTCTGAGAAGGAGCTGAAGCGAGTTAAGTCTTTGGGGCTACTGGGATGGAATGAATATATTCTGCATGTGAGAAGGATATGAGTTTTGGAGGTCAGGGGTGGAATAATATGGTTTGAAAGTGCTCCCCGTGATTCCTGTGTTGGAATCTTAATTTATGATGCAGTGGTGTTAAAGAAGCAGGACCTTTAAGAGAGGATTAGATCAGGAGGGCGTAGATTTCATGTAATGATTTACGCTGTTACTGCAGAAGTGGGCTAGCTTCTGCAGCAGCGGGCTCCTAATAAAAGGACAAATTCATCCCCTTCTCTCCCATGTGCACTCTTGCCATTCTACCTTCCACCATGGGGTGAGGTAGCAAGATGGTCCTAATCTGATGTGGACCCTGTCATCTCTGACTGCCCAGCCTCCCAAATTGTAAGAAATACATCCCTTATTCAGTAGAGTCTCACGTATTCAACTATAGTAGCACACAACAGACTAAGACAACTATCACATGTATATATTTTTGAAGGTAAATAAGGCAGTTTGAGGATAAACAATATCATCTCCGAATTTTTGCCCCTAGCCCTAAAAAACAATTTCAGAGTGGGTTCTGAATATTCATTGCAGGGCATGTTTTCATGCTGGCCCACTTTTTCCAGGTGAGGCTGTTCTTTGTTAGAAAGATTGTTGTTGTTGTTGTTGTTGCTAAGGCAATAACTAAGATGCAGGGCTGGGGACTTACTGGTGGCAGGCAGGAGTTCCAGGTGGTTGTGTCATCACTGCTGGTGCTTATGCTGACATTACAGTTGTCAACCTGGGATGCACTCAGGCCATGGGAAGCACCAGCATCCTCCAGCTCTTCATTCTGTTGCCGCCGTAGGCTTGCCAGCATCTGCAACTCGGATTCACTCATCTGGCTGGGCTGATAATTTCTCCAGTCATATTCCTGAAAAAGAGGGAAGAACATGACAGAGCAAAGGGTTACTTGGTTTTTCTCAATCACATGGGTTACCATCCAATGGTCCTCCACAGATGTAATCCCTGAAAAGGCTCCTCATGACAGAGGCTCAAACCTTAATATGCTGTATTAGTGTATTTTTTGTTACTACAACAAAATATCAAGAGGAAACTATCTTTTAAAAGAGAAAAGGTTTATTCAGCTCACAGTTCGGAAGGTTCAGGTCCAAGAGTGGACAGCCCCATTGGTTTGGCCTCTGTGAGGACAACGGATAGAAATGGGGAAGTGCATAAGGAGGATGGATCACATGGCAAGCCAGGAAGTAGAGAAAAAGTAACCAACTCTCTTGTAAGAGCTACCTTCTGAGGGCACACCCCCAACAATCTAAGGACCTCCCACTAGACCAACCTCTAAACATCACAATTGGATTAAGTTTCCGCTATCCAAATACCCTTGAGTTTAGGCTTAGAGTTCTGTATGATTTCAGTAGTGAAAGCATCTTCAAGCCACAGCACATGCCTTCATGCTTTGGCTCATTTATTCCTTTGCTCCTGACATGCCAGCCGTACCACTAAGGTTCTAGGAGCATCAAACTTGTGCCAGGCTGCCTTCTTTACTGTGCTTGCACACATGCTAGTCACCTCTGCCCCACGTTCTGGCTAACTCCTAGGCAATCTTCAGGGTCCCAATTATGCATCACTTCTGCATAGAAGCCTTTTCTTTCTTTTCTGTTTTTAAGATTTATTTTATTTTTTTTTGAAAGGTAGAGTTACAGAGAGAGGTAGAGACAGAGAGAGAGAGAGAGAGAGAGAGAGAGAGGTCTTCCACCTGCTCCCAAGTGGCCTCAATGACTGGGGCTGGGCCAGGCCAAAGCCAGGAGCTTCTCCAGGGTCTCCCATATGGGTGCAGGGGCTCAAGGACTTGGGCCATCTTCCACTGCTTTCCCAGGTGCATTAGCAGGGAGCAAGGTCAGAAGTGGGACCACCGGGATTTGAACCAGTACCCATATGGGATGATGGCACTGCAGGCCTGGGCTTTAACCTGCTGCGCCACAGTGCCAGTCTCCAGGGAAGCCTTTTTTGACAACCACCTACTGGGTCAGCTGCTTTATTATGTACTCTCAACGAATTTTAACATTTTGACTTTTATTATTTATCATAATTGCAGTTGTATAATGGTTTTTTGGACTGCACTGGTTGACTATGAACTCTACAAAGGTGTTTACCACAACTGTTTTAATCCTATTGTATTTCCCATATCTGGTGCTTAATAAGTGTTCAAACAGTACTCGTGGACTGGCCACATAAAAAAATCAAAGCAGTTCTTCTTTAAAAGAAAAATTACTTTATATAAAGAAGTTCAGTTTATAAGGGAGTTAATGAATTTCAGCATTGTGAACACTACAATCAAATATATTCAACTGAGAGTAAGACTGAGAACGACTATTTCTGTTAAAAGCCATCAAACAAAATAGAATGTTAAGATGGGAACATGGAAGATCTCACAGCCAGAAAACCCTCACAGCTACAATAAACATCTATACTGACATGGAGCACACTATATTTGCAGTCTGTCACACATATTTTTTAAAGAAAACTACTATAAATTTTTAGAGGCTAATACAGTATTATTTCAATGCACAGGACAGAAACAAGCACATGGAATTTTCAAAACTTTCTTTTTGGCTTAAACCACATTTGATAGCTTATGTCAATTTTAACATTGCTAATATACTAGGAGCCCATAGTTACCAGTGCAATTTACATCCAGAACTGTCATGGAACATGAAAACAATTTTGAAATTTTCTTGTACAACTGGAAATATAGGTTATACTCAGAAAGATTTTTTCCAAGATATACTAGGATTTTTAGACATTCAAATCACTATACTTAATATCCTGGTCAATGTTTTGAGATGGACACTGTCTTTTCTTGCTTCTTTTCTGCCTCATAGGGATGTAAAACACTGAGAAAATATTGTGAATAGAATTTTTGGTGTTCTTCTTAATAAAGCATTATCATCATCATAATTTGGGGTTTGTATAAGCTTATTATCTAATCATGTAATGTGGGAAATTTCTGGAAAGTTGCCTGTGGAAATTCAGTTAAATCCTTACAGTTCATAGCTCCAGCAGCATGGCACCATGAGAGGCCATGTAGTCATTAATAAGAGATTTCCTAAGTATTTAATATGCTTTGAGAATTCTTGGGGGGGCAAAACAGATATTACAAGAAGAATAAAATCCATAATCCAATGAAAAACAAATAAAAAAGGAAACAGAAATAACTCAAATTCAAAAGAGGAAGTTGAGGGGGACAATAAACACATGAAAAGATGCTCAAGATCACTACTATTAGAGACATACAAATCAAAGCCACAATAAGATACTCTTTACATCCACAAGGATGACTAAAATACAAAAGACAGACAATGAGTACTTGGGAGGATGTGGAGAAATTGGAATACTTATACATTAGTGGTGGGGCTACAAAATAGTGCAGCCACTTAGGAAAACAGTTTAGTAGTTTCTCAAAATGTGAAACATAGAGTTACCATGTGACCCAGCAACTCACTTGTTGGTAGATACCAAGAGAACAGAAAACATGTTTACACAAAACCTGGTATACAAATGCTTATAGCAGCATTATTCATAATAGTGAAATAGTGGAAACAACCAAATGTCATCAATTGATAAATGGATTTTTGTTAACCATATAATAGAATAAACTACAGTGCATGGTAGATGCTTGGCTTAGCGGTTAAAATGCTTCTCAGGACACCATGTCCCATTTAGGAGTGCCCGAGTTTGAGAACTGTCTCCACTTTCAACTCCTGCTTCCCATTAATGTGCACCTTGGGAAGCAGCAGGTGATGGCTCAAGTACTTGGGTCCCTGTCACCCACGTAGAAGACCAAGATTAAGTTCTGGACCTCTGGCTTTGGCCTGGCCCAGCTCAGTGTTTACAAGAATTTGGGAAGTGAACCAGTGGATGGATCGAAGATTTCTGTTTGTCTCTTTATTTTTCTACATTTCAAATAAAATGAAAATTAAAAAAAAAATGTCCAACAGAAAAAAAGTAGTCAAAAATTTAAAAGCTTAAAAAACTCATGGAAAACTGGTATGATAAAACTGTGTATGGAATTGAAAATTATCTGGCATCAAAAATAAACTGACCTGGGGCCAGTGCTGTGGTGCAGCAGGTTAAAGCCCTGGCCATAAGGGCGCTGGTTCTAGTCCTGGCTGCTCCTCTTCTAATCCAGTTCTCTGCTGTGGCCTGGAATAGCAATAGAAGATGGCCTAAACCCCTGGGCCCCTGCACCCACATGGGAGACCTGGAAGAAGCTCCTGGATCCTGGCTTTGGGTTAGCACAGCTCCGGCCTTTGTAGCCATCTGGGGAATGAACCAGCGGATGGAAGACCTCTCTCTCTGTCACTATCTCTCTCTGTAACTCTGTCTTTCAAATAAATAAAAAATAAATCTTTAAAAAAAAAACCTGACCTTTCAATTACATTTTCCATGAACTTTTTAAAAAAGGATTTATTTATTTGAAAGGCAGAGTTACAGAAAGAGAGTGAGAGACACAGATAGAGAGACCTTCCATCTGCTGGTTCACTTTCCAGATGGCCACAACAGCCAGTGATGGATCAGGCTAAAGCCAGGAGCCAAGAGCTTCATCTGGATCTCCTGACACGTGGGCATCAGGCAGGTGGAACAGCTGGGACAGGACGTGGTACCCATACAGGTTGCTGGTGTTGCAGGCAGCAACTTTACCTGTTACCCTACAATGCCAGCCCCTATTTTTCATGAATTTTTTGAAGCATTCTCACAATTCAGCAGAAAAGAATAATGAAGTACTGATACACATTACAATTTAGGTGAACCAAAAAGCCAGGCACGAAAGGCAACAAGCCATGTGATTCCATTTATATGAAATGTCCAGGATGGGCAAACACATAGATACAAAGTAGACTCAGTAAAATTATGGGTGCTAGTGGCTGGGAAAAGGGAAATGGACAGTGACTCCTAGGAGGGGTGAAGTTTCTTTGGAGTGATGAAAGCTTCCTGAAATAAAGTCATCTTGATGGCTACAGAATTTGGTGAATGCACTAAAAACTCCTAAACCGTACACTTTTCAAGACTGAATTTTGGCCGGCGCCGAGGCTCAATAGGCTAATCCTCCACCTAGCGGCGCCGGCACACCAGGTTCTAGTCCCAGTCAGGGCGCTGGATTCTTTCCCGGTTGCCCCTCTTCCAGGTCGGCTCTCTGCTGTGGCCCAGGAAGGCAGTGGAGGATGGCCCAAGTGCTTGGGCCCTGCACCCCATGGGAGACCAGGAGAAGCACCTGGCTCCTGGATTCGGATCAGCGCGGTGCGCCAGCCGCAGCGCGCCGGCCGTGGCAGCCATTGGAGGGTGAACCAACGGCAAAAAGGAAGACCTTTCTCTCTGTCTCTCTCTCTCACTGTCCACTCTGCCTGTCCACACATATAAAAAAAAAAAAAAAAAAAAAGACTGAATTAGTTGGTTATGAATTAAATTTCAATAAAAAGTAGTTGGGTAATCAGATATAAAAATGAGAATAACAGCCTCCTGACATTGGGTGCAACAGTGAACAAACAACTAAGTGACTTAGTGTCCTTTTTCAGTTTTCTGTCAAGAAAATAGGGATGAAACATTCCAATGTGTCTATGGGTATGTGACTTGGCATTCCATTGCCAATGCATGTTTGTACAATTAAAGATGATATTTTAATTTTTACCACTTTTCTTTAGAAGAAGGCTTAATGTGTACTTTGTATGATTGACTCATCCTTCCAATTCATTGATTTAATGCTCAGCCCTGTATTGTGCCTGAACACTCTGGATGCTGAGACAGAAAAATAAGAGATGATATGGTAGTGGTTAAGCTGGGCAGATCTAAAGCTGCACACCAACCTCACCACTTAGCAGTTATATGTGATTGGGAATATCACCCACCCTTTCTACACCT